TTCCAGCAGATACATTAGAGCATTTTATATTTTGCACACATTTATAAATTTTATTTTTACTTTCCTTTGTGTTTCAGTTAGAATAGTGTCTACTTTCTCTTAGGGTTTATTAATCCTTTCTTTTTCAGTTAAGTCTATCAAATGTTTTTTAGTTTTTTTAATGTTTTTATAGTGCATTATAGTTATAGATAATAATGAGGTTCATTTTGACATATTCACAAATGCATTAATATCAAATGGCTTTTAAATTTTTAATACTTTTTAGTATTTCATTGGATTCATTTTCATGAATATTTTCATTAGAATAGTCACAATTTGAACTTATCTACAGATTCTTGCATCTGGATTATTTGAGTATGTTCCTATTGACTGATGACTTTTCTCTTGATTTGGGAGGACATCTACCAAATAGTACTCTCTATTGCATATCAAGATTTGAACATTTAGTTGAAATTTAGTGTTTTTTTTTAAACCCTCATCTCTTCTTACTTTCTTTTATAACTTTTTAAAAAAGTATTTAAGACATATGAGAAGGTATACGGAATAAAACAATGGACCCCCATAGCCCTCCACAGCCACAGGGCTGAGGTTGCTAAAGATGATGTATAGAATCTCATTTTGGTAGTGGCTGAATTTACAATCTAAGTTGACCTCTCAGCCTCATAGTGTGTTTAAGTGAGGATACTGATTAGGAAAGGATGGTGTCCTGTAAGTTGGGGAAAGACTGTGTTGGAAAACTCTGATTAATCTGGGGACATGAAGTTTATATTCTGATGAATCTTCTTTGCTAGTGGAAGAGATCTTCACACACTCAACATAAGAGGTCTTTCAACACCCAGTGAAAGTGGCCGCTCATTCCCAATGTATTGCCTTTCCCACCCCCATTTATGGGCATTAATCCTGTATTGTCTGAGGAAACTATAATGGCATCCTTTGAGGCAGTTTCTATGCAAGATAAAGCTAACCCTCTCCCCTCTACTCTCTTTTCCTTCTAGACCTATAACTTGATTCAAGTCCCAGCAGCAGTTTTCTAAAAAGTGAAATATAAGTTTTAGCCTATGAGGAGGCATACTGTACTCCAAAAGAACAACTTGAATTTTCTAATTTATATAGACAGAAATCCAGTTATAGAAATGTATGCTGTAAGTCTGGTGTCAGATGGAAGCAACATAAAGTTGGATCAGACTGAATTCATTGCCGAGATTCAGCATTGAATGTTGTAGCTGGAGTAGTTAGAAAGGATGATAATGTTTGATTGGTTGGCTGAAATATTGATGGACAGGTTATTCACAGAGAGTGAAATGGAAATGACAGACCAGTCTCAGTTCAAGGTTTAATGTAGAGTGAGGGAGTCAAAGGCCTGGAGAGATGGAATGTTAGAGCGAATTTGTCATTTAAGACCTAGTCACTCACACTGAGAGGGCACAGGAAACACATTTCACCAAGACTGTGAAAAGTAAATTTGTGAGAGGAACACTGGTTTAAGAGTGTTACTAAAAGATAACAAAGTTACAAGTGACCAATAAAAATACAACACAGGTTCTCTGATCTCTGACTCTAAAACCTTTTAAACTTTTCTTATTATACAACATTTTCCTTATGAATTTTGAGCTTTGAAATGAGAAATTTAATGTAGTATTCTAAGAATTTGCAAGAAAGTGGTGATGAGGAAAAAATGTTACCCCCCCAAAAAAAAGGAAGAAAGAAAGGAAAGAAAAAGAAAGGAAAACAGAGAAAGTCTTAAGGACAATTTTTTTTTATACACAGGTTGTTATAGTCCAGAATCTGTCATTTAGATCATCGAGAAAAGGCCAGCTTTTTTTTCCTCCTCAGGGTCATGAGGTTAAGAGACTTCAGAAGGGAGAGCAGTGCTACATCTTCTCAGAGAAGTATACATAACCCAAAGAACATCAAAATAAAAAGCCCTCAATGCCACATTCCTATTTTAAAATGCCTATAGGAACCATGGCAAATAGCAACTTCATTTGTTTTTAGCCATCCCAAATTTTCATTAAAAATGACATAATGCTTTTGAAGCTCCCAAGTTGTCCAACTTTTACTATTCCAAAGGGCAATCAAGCTTCTGTCAGGGTCATAAAGGACTATATAGGAAGGAAGGAAAATCTAGGACATTAAGGATGTTTTAAACAATTAACTGTGCAATTACAAGTGTCATTATAAGAGGCAAGCAGATACTTTACTTCTGTTATGGATCTGATGTGAGGTGTCCCCCCAGAAACTCCTGGGCTAATTCAGGAGTATAAGAGGTGAGATGATTGGATTGAGAGCTGTAATCTAATCAGCCCACCCTAGTTTGCATGGATAAACTGAGTAGTAAATGTTGGAGCATGGATGGAGGAGGTGGGTCATTAGAGGTGTGCCCTAGAAGCATTCATCTTCCCTGTGGCTCCATCTCCTCCATCTCTGTGTTTCCTGGCTGCCAAGAACAGAACAGCTTCCCTTTGCCACAGCCTTCTGCCATGATGTTCTGACTCACCTTGGGCCAAGAGCAATGGAGTCATCCAACTATGGACAAAAATCTCTGAAACTATGAGCTCAAAATAAACTTTTCCTCCACTAAGTTGTTCTTGTCAGGTGTTTTGGTCACAGTGATGAAAAACTGACTAACGTAAGTACATAAAATAAGACAATGCAATGGTGGAAGTTGAGATTTGGAGATGCTACTATGCCAGCTTTGAATACAGAGTAAAAGACTATGAGCCCAGAAAAGTGCCCCTGAAAGCTGGAAAAGTCCAGGAAGCATTCTCCCCTATGCACTCTAGCATGGCCTTGCTGACACCCAGGTTTCAGCTGATTTTGAAGCTGACATTGGACTTCTAATTAGAATTATTGTTAGTGTTGTTCTAAGCCACCAAGTTTGTGGAATTGGTTACAACAGCCATAGAAAGCCCATACATACTTGATTTTACTTTTCTCTACCTTTCTGTGCACATGTAAGATAATAGCTGTTGCAATCATTCACAAATATGCATATATATTCAATTATGTATATATTCCACATATAGAGATATATGTTGAATATATTGGAATATATTAAATTTGTGTGAAAACATGTTCAAAATTATCTGATTCAAAATCAAATTCCTGCAAGGAAGGTATGATTGGTCTAATTGTAGTGTTCACTCCTGATTTACTTATTTATGAAAAGAATGAGTTAGCAAGAAGTCATATCTGCCTGTGTCCACAAAGCTTCTGAGAAGGTACTGTGAGGGTAAGGGCTTTACGAAGTATGTGGAAACACGAGAGAGACAAAAGACATCTCTAGGAGCAAAAATAGTCCTGAGTAGCATGGTCACTGACTATCTGGTTATATGGACAAAGATGGGAGCCTTCAGAGTTGGCATGAAATCTACTATAGAAGAGCAAGTAGAAAGGGTGCTACCTAAAAAATGGATTCAGGATATTATAAGAAATCACAGTGCATCATAAGATAATATAGTGAACAAATGTTTAAAGATCAAAAATTAAAAAAACAATGACTCTAAGAATTAAGTAGTCACATCATATTCTGGAGATTGGGGAGAGGACAATGAATAAGGGGAGGTACATTTGATCAGTGCATGCTATATGCATGTATGAAAATATCACGTTGAATCTCATTAATATGTATAATTGATACATGTTAATATATATTTTTTAAAAAACTAAATTTAGTAAACTGAGAAATGTGTTTACAATAACCTTCAATAATAGTGAACAATGAAACATCAATTAGAAATAAAATGTTAAATTGTTTATATTTTGAGTAGCTCTGTCAAGCCAAAAGACACCATAAATAATGTTAAAAGCCAAGGAATAGCTGAGAAAAGATATTTGCAAGTAATATTACGATTAGTATTAGTTTTTAATACATAAGAAGAACAGCAAACCAATAAGAAATATGTAAATGATACCATAGAAAAAAAGCCAAATAGTGATCCACAAAAGAGGAAGTCCAGATGCTCAATAATTGAATGAAAAGGTGAGCAAACTCAATAATTCAAACCATCAAAGATCAAAAGTGTTTGCAATGGCAAAGAAAAACAACTCATTTACTGCTGGCAGGAAGGTAAATTGGTGCAATCATTTTTGAGATGATTTTGACAATATTGTGACAACTTCAGAAGATGTTCTCTGATGGAGCAATTCCAGTCCCAGTTAAATACAGAACAGTAGTACATTGACAAAGGAAGCTATGTATAAGAATATTTAGTGTAACATTGTAACAAAATGAAAGGAAATGAGTAAATGTCCATCAACAATAGTATGAATATTTTACTTTTTACATCTACTTTGGAATGCCTAATAGTTTAAGTGAATTATATAGAACTAAACTCAGTTAAGTCTTATATAGAACTAAACTCAAGAGTTGATGAATGAAGAAAACTGCAAAAAGTGATGTATATGTTATGATATTTAATAATTTTCATAAATTTGGAAAGCTAGTCCCTATAATTTTTATAGATTCATTGAAGTAAAAATGTTAAGATTCTCTTGATCATTTTATATTGTGTATTATTATTATAAAAGTGTGTTATTATGGGAAACAATGGAGGAAATGAGATTAGGAAAATGTTTAGAAGAATATAATTTATACCTATAAATTTAATTGAAAAACTTCTAGTAGAAATAATGGAAACAATATGGGGTGCAATGCTAACTTTTCATTAAGAGGAGTGATGTGTACACAGGTATTTATCATATTGCTTTGTATTTTTTCTTATGTTCAAAATATTATAGGATACAATAAAAAGTAGTATAAGTCATAAATTTTTATGAAATATAGAGTTAACACAAGTATTATTTATATGACATTGATTTTTATTAATAAAAATTGTAGAGAAAGCTATTTGTTTAGGAGGCTAGGGTTAAAAGGCTCATTTGCTGAATCTTTTTACAGAACCCCATCCCACTCACAGTCATTTAAGTTATGCTGAACACAAAATACAGCACACAGAAAGATACAGGTGGGTGTACACTGCAAAATATGGATCATAACATCATAGAGCCCAGGTTACACGCCGAGCTTTGACATGTGATCTGTTCGCAATGTCTTCCTTTGAATTATGGGAGTGCACACGGACGATGCTACGAGGCATCGCAGTGCGTTCTGGAAGCGAAATAACTTTGATGGAACTCCCAGACAGCTGTAGATCTTTGGCAGATTTTTGGATTTTCAGGCAGGTACAGCTATTTACAAACACCTTGTATTCTATGAAAGAGAGGATACCTAGGGAAAGCACAAGCAGGGGAGCAGGATAAAGGAACAATGAAGGGTCACAGAAACATTTCCCTTTATGTTGACAGAAGACCTGGACCCAAAGCTTGGTGGATCCCTGCCAACTACCCAAAGCCATCAGGTAAAAGGGGATGCTTTAGTGGAAGAGATGGAAAACACATGCATTAACAGCTTACATGCTTCTCAGCTCAAGAAAATTGAGAATTCTTTTTGAAAGAAGATGTACTTCTATCTGATTTAGGGAGAGCAATTTTCAAAGAAATTTTATGAGGAGGATCTCCTTTTAGCACCAGACACTGCTTCTCTCTTCCCTCAAACTGCTCAGGTGCTACACTATATTCCCAGGGTCACTGCCCCTCTCCATACAATTGAGCATTCCAGTCTCAGCCACTCTCCTGGGTGGTGAGCATGACAGTTACCTCTTCCCTAAACTGGGGAAGGTATGAAAGATGGAAGAAAAAATGGAGTATAGTGAACACTTCACCCAGGCCTGGTTTCCAGCTCTCTCCTCATAGGAGCTGTCTTTAGAGAATGAGTTCAGAAGATCGTTAGTCTTGTAAAAAGCAAGGTTTGTACCTTTTGCTCCATTCCACTGTCCCATACTTTCACCCTGACCCCTACCAGGAGTAGAATGGTTCCCTTCACTCTTTAAGGACCCCGAGGACACTCACTACAGGCTAGAAGGAGGATGATGGTGAAGTAGGCAGTGGCAGCGACCCAGGTGATCTTGAAGCTAGAGAAGTACACAGTTTTACCTTTCCTTAGCATACCATCATACAGTAGAAGTGCACAGAACAGCAGGATACCTGGTGTCCAGAAAAAAAGAGAAAATGGTCTCAAAACAGAAACTTTGATTCCTTTAACTCTGCACCTGACATCCCAGCCTCCACCCTCTCCAATTGCATCTTACCCAAAGACTGGTATCAATTTAGTGCGGGATCTAACACTGCACATATCTATAAATCAGAGAAGGCCAGCTGGTCAGAGACTGTACCATGGGACCTACAAACCTACTATAACTCCACACCTGTGTTAGGAGAGCTAGTTACCTGTTAAGAGACTGAAGAGGAAAATGATGAGGTAGACATATTTATTTTGAGGAATAATGTAGGTGAAAAGCAATCCCAAGATGAAGTTAGAGGTGCAGGAAGTGATCAAGACTGTTAGCATCATAATTCTGATAATTTTCAGGCCATCTGTTGGAAAGCAGAAGTTGCATTGAGAAAAGGACACATATTTCTTTTAGACTCATTTCCACCTGGGACCCACATATCTCTAGGTAAAAAATGAGAACAGGGTAAAAGATTTGATTAAGTAACTAAGAGAGAAAGAGGAAGAAGATAAAGAGGCAGGTGTCTTTAGGCTGGAAAAGGGACTTTATAAGCTTCTTTCTCATTCCCCCCGCCCCCCTCCCCCCGAGAACTCATTTCTTATCAAATACCTTAGTTTACCTGTCCTTATAGTGGCAATATAATCTATATTCCTTCTTGTCAGTTACCTTCCTTTTCAAATAACCCTTCTACTCTCATTGTTCTAACCACCATGCTGCAACCAAGTTTTCTCAGATATTTAGCAATTAAGTCTCTAAGCTTCTAATGTTTTCTCCTAAACACCTAAAAGGTGAGATTTTAGAGTCTGCCCTGAGTGTGTTGATTATGGAAGTGGGCACACACTGCAGCCTGAGGAAGTTGCTCCACAGAATACTAGGTAAGTTGATGAGATGATCAGAGTCGAGAACAATGAAATCTTCCTCTTCACCCATCAATTTTCAAAGCATAATTCTGACCTTCTGGCCAAACAGCAGTACAACACGTCATCCATGGATTGTGGATAGTCTCATTGTTTTTTGTCTGGTTGTTTGTTGCCTCGTTGTTTGTTGTCTCGTCTGTTGTCTTGTTGTCTGTTGTCTCATTTATTGTCTTGTTGTTTGTTGTCTCGTTTGTTGTTTTGGGGACTAACTTAATCCATTCCTCCCAAATGATTCCTACTATCAAGAAGAGTACTACCCAGGAGGACACGAGTATATTGGTGGCTTGGATATGCCTCGATGACACAGGCATTATTTTGGGTGGAAATTTCTAGCTGAGACCACAACAAATATTTCATAAGTCTCTTTGATAAGTCACAGGAGGAAAGGGAAAATCTGGACTTTTAGTGAATACTGATATATGGGCAGTGGCAGAAGCTGAAGTAGGCTGTGGAACAGAGAAGATAACTTCCTCTCTTTACCATTCCTATATTGAGGGTGGTCTGTCGTTAGGCAACAAACTGCCACGGAATCACCTATTGGTTTGACCCTTGACCCTGGGGCCTATGAAGTAGAAGGACCAAGATGCTCAGAGGGGCTGAGAGAGCTACCAGACATAGAGGGAGATCTGATATCCTACCCCCCCCCCCCCACACACACACACACAGAAAGGGGAGGGAGGAAGGGAAGGAGAGAGAGAGACACTGAAGGAGAGACTGAGGGAGAGAGAGACCTATCAACTGTAGGGATGAACAGAGGCCTTGAAAGAAGCTAGACACTCATGACTACAGCAGTTCCATTTTAGAGTAGAATTACCAATTCCAGGATTAGTTGACATGCAGCAGGCTTCTGTGAAGAGGATTTCAAGATCATTTGGAAGAGTAGTCAGCTAGCTAGCTAGCACCACCACAAAAGGAATGACCATTCCAAATATAGAACATTTTGAAGAAACTCAGGATCTTTTTGGAATTTCTGAGCATAGTTTATTTAGTGAGGCTGTCAAGAAATAGATCAGTGCCTTGAAATCCAAAGAACTGGCCCCATACACTGGGCCATTGTAAGCATTTTTAGATTCCTTGAGTAGGCAACCATGGTACACACTAAGCAGAAACTGAGGGCTTGTACTGAAATTCCCCAATTTCCTTTTACTGAATAAACAGGAAATCTTCTCCAAAGGACCCTTTCTGCCTATTATTGTTTTGACCTTCTTGCAGGCCACTTTCTCAGGGTCAAAATGGCTTCTTTCATTGTCTTAAACATGCTACGTTGTCTCTCTTTCAGCCCTTTCTATACATCTTTTGTTGTTGTTGTTGTTGAACTGGGTATTGAATCCAGGGGTGCTATACCATGGAGATACATCCTTAGATTTTTTTTATTTTTTAATTTGAGACAGGGTCTTGATAAGTTTTTGAGAGTATCACCGAGACACTGAGGCTGATATTGACCTTGTGATCCTTCTGCCTCAGACTCCCAAGTTGCTTGAAATATATGTATGAGCCCCTATGCCCAGCTTTTAAACATTTTTTTCTCTGATTATATATATATATATAAATTATACATACATATATATATATAAATTATATATATATATATAATTTGTTCTTATTCATTATATATTGTAGTAGAATGAATTTTGACATATTATATATACATGAAGTACAACTTCTCATTCTTCTGGTTGTACATAATGTAGAATTGCATTGGTTGTGTAATCATATATGCACATAGGATAGTAATTTCTGGTTCATTCTACTATCTTTCCGATTCCCATTCCCCCTCCCTTCCCTTCATTCTCCTTTGTCTAATCCAAAGGACTTCTATTCTTTCCTATCTCCCAATTATTAATTCAGGTTTTTTTTTGGTGTTAAGTTTTTTGCATCATTTATATATCTTGGAGATTAATGCTCTATCTGAGGTACTAAATATCTTTTGATAGTGTATTTTCTTCACCTTTTTAATTTATAAACAACAATGCTCAACAATGTATTTAATGTTACAAAGAAGTCTTTATGGTAAAGGAAATGGACTTAGGATCCTGGGTTTCAATCCTGGGTCCACTTAGCAGACATGTGGTCCTAGAGATAATAATACTACATAACACTTTTGTAAAGATTAAATGAATTTAGAAATGTAATGTACCAAAAGATTTCTTTGCAAATAGTCAATAATGTGTAAACCATTACTGTCATATTAATTTAGGTTTCCTGGGAAAGAGATTGGGAGGGAAATCGGTAGTGGGGCAGTTTATTGGGAAGTACACCTGGGGACCACATCTGTGTTTAAGGGCAGCAGACTTTAGTTGAAGTTGAACTGAGAGGTACTTGCAATAGAAGAAACATTAGCCAATCCCATCAGTAGTGCTGGAACCTGGGTCATCAGTCAGAATCATTCTGAACAGAGGCAAGAGAGCTAAGGTTGTTTTATACTAGGCATCAGATTGTCTTTGAAAGCAGGCTTCCCTGGGTGAGATCTCCCTTCTGTTTCAGGGGCAATTCCTAATCTCTCAGGAACCACAAGCCTTAGAGAGATTTCTCTACTGTAATACGAAGCTTGCTGTTTGAGTTGCCAACTGCCATGGAATCAATCGTCTATTGCTTTGATCCTTGATCCGGGGGCCTCCCAGAGTGGAAGGATCTAGAGGGTAGAAAAGGCAACCCTTATCGTTATGTTTTTGCCTATTGATGATTTTCTTTTGAAGCTATAGATTCTTATAAGTACTTTTGAAGATTTATGTCTTTTAAATTACTGTTTCTCTTCTTCCTTGTATACTCTATGTGTGGTATATGAAAATTGCTGCTGTGTTATTTGGGACACAGATATTTGTAAATGTTTTTTTTTATTTTCTTTGTGAATTGGAGCCATAATCTTTACTTGTTTTTGTTACTGTCAATTAATTTATAGTCTGATTCTACTTTTTTTGGCATTAAGATTGTGAATATTGATTTCCTTTTATTTGCATTTCCCATGAATATTTGTTCCTCCTTATTTTTAGCTTTTCTGTGTCAGTATATTTTAGTGTGTACTTTGTATGCAGCATAAAATCGAATTTTTCTTCAGAAACCCATAAGAAAGCACTTTAAAAATTATACACGTTAAGTGCATTTACATTCAATATTTCACTGTTTGATATATCATTTTATATTCTTTTTCTTCAGCATCTCTGTATTTGATGAATGTGTAGAATAATCACTTATTACATAATTTCTGTGATTATTAAACATAGTTTTAATCTAGACTTTTTTAAAAAACAACTTTGATTTAATGCTCTTAAATCTCTTTACTGCCAGATATTTTTTGGCTTTTAACTCTGAAGTAAAATAAAATGAGCTCATAATGTCTTCCTGCCTTCTCCTATCTCTGCTTTTAGCCACCCAGTTTTAATTGAATGTATTATCTATTGAACGGCTTATCTTTGTACTCCTAAAGATAATTAGTAGACTTTTACTATACTGTTTTAAAATTTTCCTTTAATCTCTAACTCTTATTCATAAGGTATTCAGTGAGCTTCAATTTCTTTACTCTTTTCCACTCCTCTTGACATATTTAAGATTTCATTATATCTAATTTGCAAGGGCATGTACAGTTCTTCCACCTAACCATTCACCTTTTATTTTCATTATAGATCCACGGTAATGTCCAATCCTTACAATCTCTTCTTGCTGATGGTCCCTCACTCCCACCCCCCTGTCCCCACACACCTGGAGCCATCTTTAATGCAAATTGATTCTTTGATAAATATTTAATAAGGGCAGATGGGTACAATATTCTGTGCTTACATGCTTAAAACTGTTTTCCAAGTGTTGGCACTTACAGAATTCTTAGCTAGGTATAATATTCTTCATTCACACTTTCTTTTTATGAGTAACTTTTTTAGTGTTTCTTCAGTCTTTTGCTTTAAAATGCTCTTGTCTAGAAATTTGATGTCCACTTATCTTTTTTTTTGCCTTTGTAAGAGACTTGGTATCTTTGCCAGGAAATGCAGAGGATTTTTTTCTTAAGCTTAAATTTTGATGATTTTAAAACATGTTTTGACATTGTATATTCTGGTTCAATTATTTTTCATTAACTAAATTTATTACTTTTAATGGAGCTTAAATTGTCCATTCTTTTTTTGCATTACAATTCTTAATACATATATATACCACAATTTTTCATATCTCTGTTTGTATATAAGGTATGTTGACACCAACTTCAAATCTTATTCTGGTTCAATTTTTACAGGTTTATAATATGCCTTTTCAGCATGTAGATGCAGATGTTTTATTTCAGGAAAAGTTTTGTGATTGAATATTTATTTGTTTAATTTATTTTTTCTTCTTTATGAAATCCAATTGTTATATCTTTTTTTTTTGGTCTTTTCCCAATAGCTGTCATTTTCTCTTGAGTTATTTTTTCTTGATATTTATTTATTTTTATTTTTTATTTACATATAACAGCACAATGCATTAAATTCATATTACACATATAGAGCACACTTGTTCATATCTCTGGTTGTATACAAAGTATATTCATAACAATTCATGTCTTCATACATGTACTTCAGATAATGATGTCCATCTCATTCTACCATCATTTCTAATCCCATGATCCTTCCCCTCCCACCCCTCTGCCCTATCTAGAGTTTGTCTATTCCTTCCTCATTCCCCCTCTCTACCCCACTATGAATCAGCCTCCTTATATCAGAGAGAACATATGGCATTTGGTTTTTCAGGATTGGCTAACTTCACTTAGCATTATTTTCTCCAACTTCGTCTATTTAGGTGCAAATGCCATGATTTTATTCTCTTTTATTGCTGAGTAATATTCCATTGTGTATATATGCCATTTTTTTTATCTATTCATCTACTGAAGGGCATCTAGGTTGGTTCCACAGTTTAGCTAGTGTGAATTGTGCGGCTATAAACATTGATGTGGCTGTGTCCCTGTAGTATGCTGTTTTTAAGTCCTTTGGGTAAAGACCAAAGAGAGGGATAGCTGGGTCAAATGGTGGCTCCATTCTCAGGTTTCCAAGGAATCTGCATACTGTTTTTCATATTTGCTGCACCAATTTGCAGTCCCACCAGCAATGTATGAGTGTACCTTTATCCCCACATCCTTGCCAACACTTATTTGTCTTCATAATAACTGCTATTCTGACTGGAGTGAGATGATATCTTAGAGTGGTTTTGATTTTTCATTTCTCTAATTGCTAGAGATGTTGAACATTTTTTCATGTATTTTTTGATTGATTGTATATCATCTTCTGAGAAGTGTTTCTTTAGGTCCTTGGCCCATTTATTGATGGTTATTTGTTTTTTTTGAGTTTTTTTTTAA